ACGTTTTGTTGACTTGTTGCCGTATCCTAGAAACGGCGGCGCTAGCAACATAGCTAGGAGCTAAAGCAAAGCTAACCTGAAGCCTCATTGTAATAGACGTTGATGCGATCCAGCTGCAGGTCGCTGTCCCCCTGGTATGAGCCGGTCGGGTCGATGCCATGTTCTTCGCTTATGACTTCCCAAAACTAGAAGAGAATAAAACACAACAACGGTCAAATTACCTGCAAACTAGCATGACTTAGCTTAACGATTCGAACAGGTTGAACCCGTAGGTAGCTTTCATTAGCATTGCTGCTAAGTAGGCTAATCAACCCGCCCAAACGAACATTAACATCCACGCACTTAATGAATGAGTTAAGAATTCAAATGTAAATCTAAACTACTCTCTTACCTTAGCTCCAATTTGATTTCCACATTGGCCTGCCTGCAGATGCACGATTTCCCTCATTTTGGTTGAATTCAAATGTTCCAACCGACCGATTCAAAGGTTTGAATCTGTACTGATGCAGCTACGCACTAACCAGAGAAGATGGGAGTGCTATCAACCGTTACCCGATTAACAGGATTGGTCCAAATTCATGTCACTCAGCCTCAGCAGACATCTCATTGGTCAAAAAAATCTTAAGGGGGCGGTTTGCATACAATTTGTCCCGCCACTTTCTGGAATAGAGTGTAGATGAGCACTGTAAAACCTCAAATCCTACGTTATAATCCTTGTCCGTTTGTAAAACCTAAATACTGCCCTGTACGCCACATCCCCTGAACTCCGTCGCAAAATATATTTAATTCTGTGTGGTTTCTGTTCAGTACTTGCTTCAGTTCTTAGAAATTGCAAAAAAAATTCAGCAATTGTTTTGTCATTGCTAGCTTGCTACAATATTCACATTTGCCACACGTTATTGTGTTGACTTCTCTTGTTTCTCCAACTAACATTATAACAACTCCTCTATTACACTGACTCATCCTGCCATTTCTTTTTCATTTGGGATTTCATGATGCTTGTGATCTTAGCCTTGCAATATAATATATAATATAATATATATATAATATAATATAATATACTCATACTAATTTGTCTCTTTGTCTCCAACTTTGCATATACCAGATCATTTCCCTCCACCCCAATGTGTGCAGGAATCCAGATGAAATAGGTGACCGCTCCTGCCCTTCAAATTTGTTGAAGTGTTTGTGCTATTTCCGGTACTATGTCTTGTCTTGTTTCTGAAGGCCTATGTTTAATGCTTTCCAATGCACTGCTGGAGTCAGAGCCTATCAATACCTTCCTTGTCTGGACTTCTTCCACTCAATTCAAAGCCAGAAGAATAGCCAAAATATAAGAATCCTTTATTTGCACATTTGTAATTTACTTTATTACAACAACAGACAAATAGTGCAGGTAATGTATGTATGTACTTTACCACACCATCACCATCACTAACAAGGTTTTGTATTATGTTTTCCAATTCTGTAGAATATAATTGGAGGGATGAAACCCTCTTTTATGGTCACACAAGCACACAGTGAAATTTGGCCTCTGCATTTAACCCATCCTAGTAGGAGCAGTGGGCAGCTATTGTACAGCGCCCGGGGAGCAATGGGGAGTGAGGATGTACAGTGCCTTCCCAGATAGCAAAAAGTCATTGAATCAACATTGAGATATTGTCACGCTGAAGATTGTGATCAACATTGATGTCAGACATTGAAAATAACATGGAAAGTGCTCGCTATGATCAGCATTGAAAGAACATTGAATTTTCAATCAATCTCAACAATGAATCAACCTTGATTCAATTACGATATGATCAACATTGAAAGAATGTAGAATTGCAACAACATTGATTCAACTATATTATGCGTTGCATTATACATTGAAACAATGTTATTATCAGATAGCAAAAAGTCTTTGAATCAACATTGAGATATTGTCACGCTGAAGATTTCAATCAACATTGATGTCAGACATTGAAAATGAACTAACAAAAAAAGAGCCATTATTTATTCAGTTGATTATTACGATTTAATTCAATTATATGAACATTTTGAACATTTTTTGTCCACTTTAGCACACAAAACATTCTCTCTTTTAAAGGTCTTATCATATGCTTTTCTGGTTATTACCCATCCCCTTGTGTGTTATGTAGGTTTTTCTGCATGTAAACGGTCTGCAGAGTCACAAACCCTCAAAGTACACCCTGTAGCGAGTAAAACTCTAACACAGAAAAGACCTGTCTATGCTGCCAGGCAATGCAGCGCTGTATGGAAGCTGTCAGCCGACTCGCCCAGCCCAGCTGTGTGTGTGTGTGCTCAGGCTGAGTTCCTCTGTGTCTCGCTGTCTCGCAGACCCCATGCCATCATCATGTTCTGTTTAAAGCAGCTTTGCTAGACGTTGATAACATGCATTCTTCACATGCTGAATATATGGATTTGAAAAAATGCACGTTTTGCAACATAACACAAGTTAAGGACATTTCTTGACATAATAAACATCTAGCAAAGCTGCTTTAAACAGAAAATGATGATGGCCTTTGAACACAGATTCTGAGGATGGTTTCTGCTTCTGCTTTTATCCATCAGGTCAAAATAGGATTCACACACCTGGCATCATTGTGATAAATCAGGCCTCAGCCTCTTCAGCACATCACAATCAAAGAATTTAAGAATAAACAAATATAACAATTACAATCCAGTGCCTCTTGTCAACTGGCAACTCACAATTCCACACATTTCAATTTCACAGGCAAATGGGACTTCATGCTTAAAATGACTGCATGTGCAAGTACATACATTGAAGTTTTACCTGATCACTAACAATGAACTTGAACAGTAGAAATACTGGATATGCCCCTCTTTTGAACTGGCAACTTACACATCCACACATTCTTTGATTCTCTATTTCAGAAGAGAACTTATATGCTTAAAATGAAATGAATGCTGTGAGGTTTTACATGAGCACTAACCACAATGCACTAGAACAGGCGAAACATAGGTTAAAGTCATGTCTGGCTTCCCCATTAACATTCACAGCAAAAGCTTTGTTTTCCGAGACCTTATGCGCTGCGAGCGTCGAGAGCCAAGCTCTTAAAAGATAGTCTGAATGGCTTCAAAGGTATACCTCATCTCCTTTGGAAAATCCATGTTCATTGCATAAAGTAGGCCAAAGAGGTATGCAAAGGCAGTAGAGAGGTCTGGTAGGTCATGCAGTACAATGGTCCCTTCCAACACAACAGCCACGTCTCGCACATTTGGCGATATGGCGGCATCATCATCTTCAATGACGGTGAGGATGGCCACAGACACACCTCTGAGCAATCGTTCTTCATGGTCAGTGTCCTGAGGAAAAGTAAAATATGCATGAATGAGTGCTATGGAAAACTAAACAACAAAATACATATCCACTGATTCTAACTTTAGCACCAATCTACTGAGTCTTACCATTCAGCTTGTGGAAGTTATAATTGCAACTCAACAGCACGGCATCTCTGGGCTCAAAATTAAATCTTACACAAAGTGTATTGTGCATAAAATGATTAGCATAAGCTATGAGGTCATAACATGTTTAAGCTACATTAAGCAATATTAATTGTATTATGTAAGTTTATTTCCTACAGTTAGTATTACTTACCAAACACTCCAGAAGAAACTTGGTTGTGTCATATCGGACAAAAATGGGCAGGCCTCTCAGTGCTGCTGTCTTTCGGTGAGACACAATGTCGGATGTCTAAGGAGTACCCAGTGGAAACACACAAACATATCAATTAGTTTAGTGCCGTAGTGAATTTATACAAAATCTGACGTTCTGAGGAGGATAAAGAACAGGTCAGATCCCAGTAACATGCTTCAGTAAAAGACTGGCAAAATAAAACAAAACAAAAACTGCAATCCTGCGGACAATTCTACAAATTAAAAATACTGTTACAGTTCTCAAATTCCACCAACTAAAAACACCAAGCAATGACTTTTAACAATCCATTTTTACTGAAGCCTTTCCATCAAAGCGTTTTTGCTCCTACAAATGTTAGAGCGATGGCGAGGGGCGTAGTGTTGTTCTGTATTTCAGAGGCCTTGAACACGTGTTTGAATACATATGGACATTTGCAGCGTTCCTCAAGAAGTCTCAAAAACAGTTTGAGATCGCTGGTGTCCGAGTCACTCACATAGGCCCAATTGAAAGCAGTAATCTGTCTTTGGGTCCAAGAGTGACTCCCAAAACGACAGAGACTGATTTGGGTTGTAGTTCAGCTATTCAGTCCACCAACATTCAGATGGGTGCAAAGCATAACATTCCAAAGGGATCTTCTGAGTCTCAAAAACATTTTGAGATCGCTGGTGTTCGAGTCACTCAAATAGGCCCAATTGAAAGCAGTAATCTGTCTTTGGGTCCAAGAGTGACTCCCAAAACGACAGAGACTGATTTGGGTTGTAGTTCAACTATTCAGTCCACACTTGGCTGCACCAACATTCAGATGGGTGCAAAGCGTAAGACTCGTAAGGGATCTTCTGCTTGCAAAAAATTTAAAAAGAGTGATGTTACCGCAGTTAATTCAGACGTTGCTTTTGTCAAAGAAGTAACAAGTGGACGACTGCAGTTTAATCCTCTTAGTCATCAACTTGCACAAGCTCTTTGTGAGCAGTTACATGTGCAGTCAGAAAAAGTAGATGTTGTGTCTACACAAATTGGTTTGATAGGGGCTCCATGTCTCAATGAAAAAATAGAGGGTGACGGAAACTGTTTCTTTAGAGCAGTGAGTCAAGCTGTGTGTGGTACACAAAGCCATCACACAATAATTAGGCATGCAGTGGTTCATCAAATGCAGAGCAATGCTGTGCCTTATGAGCGTATTTTGACCTCCTCCATGTCAGAATACCTCAGCACATCCAAAATGCGTGAGGTTGGCAGTTGGGCAACAGAATTAGAAATTCAAGCAGCAGCAGATGCGTTTGGAGTTAATATATTCACATATTGTGATCCACGCTGGCTAAAATATAGTTGCGAGAACGGGCACACCACAGCCGGGACTCAGGACAGCCCAAATCAGGTTTGTTAAGGTTTTAATAATAGGTGTAGTTGCCAAATAATGATTTACCAAAAACAAAGGAATGTAAATAAATATAAAGTACATGTGATATTTAAATGTACACTGCATTTATGTCCAAATAACCCCAAAATAGACTCAATACAAATTATAATGTTGAAAAAAGTGGAAAAGAATAGAATAATATATTTGTGTGTGGAAAAAAGTAATACAAATATAGTTTTTATGACACACTATACTTTGACTTTTGACTCTATGACTTTTTAAATGACATATTATACTATAACAATGCTCATAAATACAACTATAGCGTATAGTAGTTAAATTCACTTTAAATGGTGAGCTGGTTGATCTAGTTAAACCAAATCTACGAAACATCTGAACTCAAGGTCAAGTGGCCATGGTATGCAAGTCATAAAACACTGTGAGGTGTCTCTGTAAAAAAAGACTGATGATAATGTGTATTAGGAAACTATGCAGGAATCTAAAAAGCAGATCTTAAAGTTATATATATATATATATATATATATATGTAGGTTGTGAGCAGTGGTGGGGGTCAATGAGAGGTATCACTTGCATCGTGTAAAATGACAGAAGCTGTTGACACACATGTTCAAGTTTCCTCTCATCTCTCCTGTGTAGGAAAGCGAGGCGTCCTGAAGCGTCCCTGGTCAGAGGCGGAGCGGGCTGCGGTCGAGGAGCACCTCACCCAGAACATCACGGATCTCCGGGTCCCCGCGAAGGCTGACTGCGAGCGCTGCCTGCAGCAGTGCCCCCTGCTGGTCAGCAACCACCGCGACTGGAGGGCCATCAAGTTCTACTGCCACAATCGCATTCAGCTGCTGAAGAAAAACCAGCGTCGGGAAATCGAGCCCCTGGCCCTCATTGTCTGCTGAGAGGAGAGAGGGTTCGGGGAGGCATCAGAGCAGATTCTCAAATGGTACCCTGCTCCCCAGGAAATGCACTAGTCTTGAGAGGACGGTCCTAAAAGTTTCACTTCTCGTAGCCCGGTTTGGTTCTGACACGGCTTTTTCATTTGACACATGATGGCGTTTTTTTATTTGAGCCACACAAGAACAGAAATCTGAATTCACTTTTTTTGCTGCTCTACTTTAAGGTCTTAAAAAGATGACACTAGAGTCTTCACAATGCTCCTCGTTTGAGGGACTTGTCAAAAGCGGAGCACTGTGACGGGTCCCGTTTGAGACTTGCGTTGGGGGACTTCAGAGACCATGACACTTGCTCGTGATTTGTTGTACATGGACAATTTCTTTATCTCCTTCCAAAACGCATACACTAAAATGAAATGTAATCAAAGGAGGCAGTGGAGCCTCACAGTGTTGCTGAACGTCGTGAAGTAGCATTAGTGTTCCATGCGCTTGGAGACGTTAATAGGACAAATGGCCCGTGCTGGGGCCACATGTTTCTTAATAGTGACTATATAACTAGAGTAGGCAATACTACTGCTAAGACTAACCAGATCTTCTTATACAACTGACTGTAGTTCTGACAATGGTTTTATTATATTTGGACCATCATTTACATGTAAGGTACTTGTGGAGGAATGAGTTGCTGTATTGCAGTTTTTATGAAGTTTAAATTTAAAGTGGAACGCAGAGTTTCATTAGAGAGACAATTAAAAGGCCGCAGAATGTTGTGAAGTTACTTTTGGATACCTAAGATGTTTTGTTCAAATACAAAGTCCAGGAACATGAGGACTGTTTGGAAACCTGTTGCGTTCGACTCATTTTCCCCAGAGGAACAGTTGTTTCCTTTTGTTTTTGTCTTTTTTCTGCCTGTTGCACATTTGTTATTCAAAGCAGTAAAAAAGGTGCTATAGGCCAATAAGCTGGATATCACTTTATATGTAGAGAGGAGATTTCCCATGGTTGTGTTAGAAGTTTATTAATAAGTGGGCATTTATCACAGACGTGATTGTTCTGTCTCCACGTTTATTGCATTGTCTGTGATGTCCTTTCCATCGGTTATAGCTCCACCTGTCCTGTCCCAGCAACACTACACGGTTTGCAGCTCCACCACATTTTTGGTTTATCTTCGGTGTCGCTTAAAATCTGCTTCCCATCGGACTAAAACCTCCATGAAATAGATGACAGATACTTGAAGTTATTTAAACCTTTTGCAGACTTGTTTATGTTCTTTCTTGCTCTAGCCTTGCCAGTTACATTGTACATAACAAATATATTATCATTATGCTAACTGGTTGTTCGTGCTAGACGATGTAGCTTTTTCATTTCTGAGTTATTGCTATATGTAAATAAGCCTGTTTGTAAATAATCCTCAGAGAAACAAAGAAAAAACACAATGTATGACATGCCTTGGTTATTAATGTGTTATGTTTTTTCTTTTTTTATAAGTCTTATAAAAATGTAAAGCTCTAAGTTTTGTGATGTGGTTCTTTTTTTCCATTGCATTTATTCACAGTTCAGTTTGAAATGCTGTAGTGACTTGTATTGAACAAGTGTATAATTAATTTGACTGAAAAGATGCTATTCATGACCAAAAACACATTATGTACAGTTTTTATATCCCACATGCAGTTCACTGTAAAGCCACTTGGTGGAGGTGTTGGTTCATAAACCATGAACAGTTTTAAGAAGAAAAAAACAAAGACGTTCTGAGAATAAAAGTTCCTGGTAAAGTGGTGCATGTTCAGGTTGATAAATAATATTTTCCTATGCTGGATGTGATTCATATAGATCACTGTGAATCATCCATAGATATTCTATCTGAGAAAGCAGCACAATGTTATTCAACTGTATGTTGCTACTTTGTAGAGGACTTTTATCAGACGTCCCAGCTCAGTGTCCTTCGGATGAGATTCAATTGAAATAGATCAAGTAATGTAGGATAAAATACGAGTTTGAATTATTCCCCCACGGTCAAACATACTTGTTACAGCAGCTTAAGAGTATAAAAACCAAAACCAAAGGGAATAACGTTACAAATTAAAAAGGGAAACGATAAAAAAATGAAGCCATGTGCCTATAAACTAATTCCACTCATAAGAAACAAGAGAACAATACAAACAACAGCTATAAACATATGTTCACATTTCTCCTACACAAGTGAGCCATGATGTTTAATTAAAATAAACAGAACACACACACACACACACACACACACACACACACACACACACACACACACACACACACACACACACACACACACACACACACACACCACACACACACACACACACACACACACACACACACACACACACACACACACACACACACACACACACACACATCCTCCAAAGGGAATGTAAGTAGAGCACACACAACTTTAAAGTCTTATCACAGGTTGTCAAACTCACTGGAAGATGAACTGACTGCTGGAAAACTGGAACCACTTTTCTTCAGTCCTGTGTTTTGTGGTCCTATTTGATCATCTCAACAGTCCCCTCCAACAGGGGTCACTGTTCAAATGGACAAAGTTGAAGGGCTGGCGACAAATCTTATCGTAACATATTTGTTTCAAAGCCTATGACTCATACTATGTGGTTAACTTTCAAAGATGATTTCATTGCATGCGCTGAAAATCAATAAATTAAATGTTCCAGGATTGGAAGTGACTTTAAGTCACAGCAATTCAGAGAATATTGGCAATTTCCCTCTCAGTGGAAGTAGACTCTTCAGGCAACAGCAGTGCTTTAAGATAATTCCCCATGTCGACATGGCATCATGTTCACAGTTATTTATACAATTCACACAGATAAAAATGCCATGCTATAGAATACAATTCAGTGGACCAGGTTTTAAAGATGTATCCTCTGGGAATCATGGACGTCTATTTCAGATTTTGACTACCTACCTGATGGATAGTCAAAAAGGTCAAGGGGTCACCAAAGTCAAAATAATGCATTGATTGGGCATCATGGATATGTGCCTTTCATTTCATAACAATCCATCAAATATTTGTAGAGGTATCAAATCAAATCAAATCAAATCAAGTTTATTTATAAAGCACATTTAAAAGCGATTTTTGGTCAAGCCAAAGTGCTGTACATGTAATAAAAACACAGTACTACAATCACAATAAAAGACAATAAATTAGAACAGATATATATAAAAAATTTAAAAAAAACACAGGGAAAAGTCAGGAGTCGTGCTCCGCTCTAACTAGAAAGCCAGAGAGAAGAAGTGTGTTTTTAGTGTAGATTTAAAAACCCCTAGGGTCTGGGCCGACCTCACATGGAGGGGCAGAGTGTTCCAGAGCCTAGGGCCAGCTGCTGCGAAGGCTCGGTGCCCTCAGGTTTTAAGCCTGGTCTTGGGCACTACCAGCAGCAGCTGGTCAGCAGACCTTAAAGCTCTGGCTGGGGTGTAGGGCTGGAGGAGTTCGGCTATATAGGCCGGAGCCAGCCCATTTAGTGCTTTAAAAACAAATAAAAGGATTTTAAAAATCAATTCTGAACCGAACTGGAAGCCAGTGTAGTGAGGCCAGAATTGGGGTGATGTGGTCACGCTTTTTGTGGCCAGTCAGCAAACGTGCAGCTGCGTTTTGGACTAGCTGCAGGCGTTTAATTGAGGCCTGGTCCATACCCACATACAGAGCGTTGCAATAGTCCAGTCTCGAGGTTACAAAGGCGTTAATAACCCTTTCTAGGTCATTAAAAGATACATACGACTTGGTTTTGGCCAATAGTCTTATTTAAAAAAAGCAGGATTTGACTACGGTGCTGACCTGCTTGTCGAATTTAAAAGTGCTAGTGAAGGTCACTCCAAGGTTCATGACCGAGGGGAGGATGTTTTTTTTGAGAGAGCCCAGAATATCAACCGGAGAGGCTGGTGGTTGGGGTCCAAAAAAGATGACCTCAGTCTTGCTCTCGTTGAGGTTGAGAACGTTTTTGCTCAGCCAGGATTTTATCTCTGTTAAGCAGTCCATCAACTGCTGTAGTGAGTGTTTGACATTTGCTTTGAGAGGCAGATAGATCTGTACATCGTCGGCGTAGCAGTGGAAGGGAATATTATGTTTTGTGAGAATTGAACAGTAGAAAAAGGATGGGGCCCAGAATCGAGCCTTGGGGAACCCCACAGGTAAGAGGGGCTTTGGCAGAGGAGAAGGCACCTAGCTGTACCGAGAAGCTACGGTCTGTCAGGTAGGACCTGAACCATGCAAGGGCAGAGCCTGTGATGCCAGCGGACTGTTCAAGCCGTGACAACAGGATGCTATGGTCCACAGTGTCAAAGGCAGCTGTCAGGTCTAACAGCACCAAGACAGCTGGGCTACCTGAGTCGGCAGCTAGGAGCAGATCATTAAAAACTCTTAAAAGGGCTGTTTCAGTGCTGTGCATGGGTTTGAAGCCAGACTGAAACTTTTCATGGATTCCATGCATGGTTAAAAAAGACTGCAGCTGGGCGTAGACTACTCGCTCCAGGGCTTTTGATAAAAAAGGTAGCTGGGAGATGGGCCTAAAATTTGCGAGAATGGAGGGGTCGAGGTATTTCATTGTGAACCGTTTGGCACTGCCCTCCTTGAAGCACTCTGTTAGGGGGTTCACACTATCTAAATGTTTCCATACTCTCAAATAGTCTATGTCACATTCTTGTATTTACGGCGAGTTTACAAAACTCTGATTGTGTGCGCACAAAAAAGACATGATGCAGCATTCTGTAGTTGTTCAAGTCCTTTGTCAATAAATGCCTGTCTCCATTTCAGTTCTCATCTGCTATTGATCCATGTGTCTTGTTCTTGTCTCTGTTGTATTTAGTTTTAATTGCATGATTGCATAATCCAACAAGAGGCTTCTCTTTGCTGAGTCATCAGTGTAATTAGTCCTTAATCAATGTATATGTCAATAAAAATCCTTTCAAGTTGCTGAATTCACAATTCATCCCATGATGAGCAATGAAAAAAAATAAAAAGGTCAATAAAGTTATTTGCTTGGGTTTGTATTTCTTCTGTGCAGCTGTTATATTAACATTTTTGTTGAATGCATGGTGCTGTGGTCTGATGCGCTGCTTTTGCCGCAGTTACCTTCATCGGCATTACATATGGATCTGTGTTTTATCTGATGCCTCTTCCACAGATAAGAATGGGTCAGTCAATAAAAACAGACCAAATGTACAAGTTGCCCTCCACAGTGTCAAAACTTTAGAAACCTCATCTCAATCCAACTGATCTTTAGTGAGATTATCTCTACTGCCCGCTGATGATTACAAAATGATAATGTTTTGCAGCCGTCAGAAAATTGATAAGTAGCTTCAGCCCTTTTGAAAACATCCTGTCAGCACTCAGGGGTACGGTCACCTTTTAAGCCTGGGTACCTCCTCCTCCGTCCTTCTTTCAGGCACAAAGTCAAACAGTATTGCACTCTGATTTAGTTCATTGCTTCATTCTTTATAAGTGAACGTCTCCGTCAGCAATATCCGTGGTCAAGGACAGCCAGGTGTCTTCTTTAACATCTACATGCTACCACTGGCTCAGATAATGAAAAACAACAAAATAAGTTACCATAGCTATGCGGATGACACACACATTTACGTAACAAATTTCACCAGGAGATTATGCTCCAATTCAAAACACTGAGTAAGTGCATTGACAAATCAATGACTGGATGTGTCAGAACTTTCTCCAATTAAACAAAGATAAAACTGAGGTAATGGTTTTTGGAGCCAAGGCAGAACGTATAAAAGTTAGCGCTGAGCTTCAGTCTGCAAATGTTCAAAACAACAGATAGAGCCAGAAATCTAGGTGTAGTCATGGACTCTGACCTGAGTTTCAACAGTCACATTAAAACAGTTACTAAATCAGCCTACTATCACCTAAGAACATATCTAGGATTAAAGGACTAATGTCCAAGCAGGATTTGGAAAAACTTGTCTATGCTTTTATCTTCAGTAGACTGGACTACTGCAATGGTGTCTTTACAGGTCTCACTAAAAAATCTATTAGAAAGCTGCAGCTAATTCAGAACGCTGCTGCTCGAGTCCTCACTAACACTAAGAAAGTGGATCACATCACTCCTGTTCTGAAGTCCTTACACTGGCTTCCTGTGTGTCAAAGAATAGATTTCAAAAATATTGCTGCTGGTTATAAGCTTTGAATGGTTTAGGCCCAAAATACATGTCTGACCTACTGCTAAATTATGAACCATCCAGAACTCCTCAAGGTCTTCAGGGACTGGTCAGCTTTCTGTCCCCAGAGTCAGAACTAAACATGGAGAAGCAGCATTCAGTTATTATGCTCCAAATATCTGGAACAAACTCCCAGAAACCTGCAGGTCCGCTGCAACTCTTACTACTTTTAAATCCAGGCTGAAGACTTTTCTTTTTGCCGCTGCTTTTAATTGAACTATTCACATCTTAAACTGCACTGTAACTTTTAACTTTTATCCATGTATTTTTTCTTTTAATGTTTATTTTATTATCTT